ATGGATACATATTGCAAACAATCCCTGTCTTCTCAATCACGAGGAGACAACTCTCTGGTATCCTTTAGAGTTGAGGGAGGCCAGTTGTGCTTTGAGAGGTAGGACGGTGCAGTAGGGCCAATCAAGATGGCGATTTCAACAGCTGGGGCATCAGGCCCAGGTTGGCAGAGGGCACCTGGATCCCCCTCCTGTCTTTTCCCTGAGGCTCTGGGGCAAGGTGGCCTCAGAATAACCCTGGGATGGAGGAAGAGGGAGTGTGGCAGCCTGCTGGGCCACCCACAAGGAAGAGCTTCCTCACACACTGGACGGGGATGAGGTCCCTCCTGCTGGGCCACGCCCTTATTCAGAGCCACACACAGCCATCCCCCCATGGAGACCTTGGCCGGGCCACCCCTCAGACCTACTCGGAGTATGCCGTCTCGGGACCTGCAGGAGGAGCTGGAGCCCCACACCCCATGGGGCCAGAACCCCAGGCAGAAGAGATCTCCCCACCCCCACGCCCTCAAACTGGAAGCAAAATTCAACAGTTTCATTGTGAGCCCCTGGCAGAGGCTGAAGTTCATGTGCCATGTGCCTGTGGAATTTGGCAACATGGTTCCTGACTACACGCTGGGCCAGAGCACCTGTGTCCTCTTCCTTAGCTACCGCCACTGCCACCGCCACTGTCACCGCCACCACAACTCACTTCCACCCAGACTACAACCCCAAGTGTCTGTGGAGCCTGGGAAGAGCCCCACCCTGTGCATCCTGCTCACCCACGTGGACGGGAAAGATCCTCAGCAGCCTTCAAGTTGCTGCTGAAGTGTGTTTCCTGGCTGACTGCACCCTGGTCCCTGCCTGGAGCCGGGAGGAGGCCGGGCAGTACCTGGAGACCTGAAAGGCCTACGACCAGAAGCCGGCAGACCTCCTGATGGAGAACCTGGAGCGAGACTTTGTGTCCCAGGTAACTGAATGTCTTTCGACTGTGAATTCATTCCACAAAACAGGTAGTCAGACCCTCCTCGCTGCTTCTGGGTCTCTGGAAGAGCTCACAGTTGCATCATGGGAAGATCCCGCCTTATACCCGGGCCTGGGGCCCCAGAAGCCCCACAGGCTGTTTGGAGGTCCTACATGAGGCCTTCTTGAAAGTGTCCTGATGACCTCAGGTGCCAGTGATGCCCTCTGTGTAGTAATAAAGCATTTTCCTGCCCCCACCCCCGAAAAGCAGAGGCATTGGCACTGTTGACTCACATCCTAGCTCGGCCACTCACCATGTGACTGTGGTGGCATATTATTCCACTTCCCTTCCGTTGGTTTTCTCCTCACTAAAATGGGAAAAAACTATTTGGGGTTCTTACACAGAGTAAGGAAGCTGATGTCTCTACCTCTATATTGACTGCAGTGTTTTTCTTTTTTGTTGTTGTTTTTTGTTCTCAAATGTGCTCTATAATGTTAAGCTCCATGACCTCCCTCTTGCGATGACGGTGGACAGAAGCTGTGATGCACGGGTGCACTGGAGGACCGCTGTCTCCAGGGAAAGGCTTGCGGCCCCACGGCTGACCACCTGCCCTGCTGTGCAAAAGTTCCGAGTGTGCAGCTTGGGGTGTGTTTAGGTGCAGGGTCTCCTCGTGAGAGACTGGTATGCTAGCTTGTCTGGCAGGTTTGGACGGAGACTCAGATCCTGATCTGTTCTGAATGGGGCTGCTTTTATATATGTTTTTATTCATTAAAGACATCTCCAGTGGTTTTACTAAACTTCTGTTCAGCACTTCACTAGCAATACCCTGAGATTTTATTTGGGGACAATTTCTCCAAATTAAAATAAGGTGGCCAGTCTCTCAGATAAGAGAGACAGTGATGACATGCAGTGGCATCGCTGGTAGGTCGGGGAAAGAGCGAGGGCACAGTTCGGGTCTCCGGGGAGGGGTTCTGGGAAGGTTAGACAGAAGGCACTGAATCTCCGTGAATGGACAAAGAGCACTAATCACTGACCTAAGACATGGCTGCTCAGTGCCGGTGGAAAAATCTCTGAAATCTTTCAGAGATGCTTGCGAATCCAAGTGGAGGGAGGCGGGATGTTAGAAAATCTTGACCTAAGTTAGTTTTCAGTCTCAGTGGCTGTGTTTCCTCTTCTCAGTGTTCACATTGTTCAGCTAATAAACAGAGGTTAATTCTATCAATATGTCCAGAAGAATAAACACTATCAGGAATATAGTTAGTTTTTAATTTTCAAATGTGGCCTTTCTACCTTCCTTTGTCCTCACACATACGTGTGTATCCTTTTTATTTATGCTTTCACTCCTTGTTTCCCTACTGCTCCACCCACACAGGTTGTCTGTGGATTTGTTAAGTAAAATCAACTTTAGTAAGCTTAAGTTAGGGGTGAGACAGCTTGTCTTCCTGTCAAAACAACAAATGAAGTTTGCTGCTGAGTTTACCTGATCGCTGCCTCATCCGACCACACAGCTGCTCTGTGCCCCCCAATCCCCAAATATCAGTGGTTATGGTTTTAGGGTGTTGGCTCACTGAGCAGGTTTTGATTTTTACCATTGACACAGAAAGAAGCAATTGTCACTGCAAAAAAGTTTTGCCCTGATAACTACACTTAATGAGCATGTGTTGTATAGCTGAATGAAAGTTATATGAAACAGCAGTGACAGTGAATGAAGGAATGCATGGGATGGGTCGGAGCTCCATGATGAGAGTGTTTTGTCCTGTTTTTGTTTAAAGCCTCTCCTTCCTCAGGACCCCACAATGTTCCTGTGAGCCCAGAGGCCTGTTCCAGGTTGCTTTGTAGTAGGGGTGAAGGCAGGTGGGCGGCTGAGCATCGGAGTTCAACCTCCCTCCTGAAGAATCAGATTTTATGACGTGATGAGAGACTGTTTTTGTTCTTCAGGATCACAAGGGTGTATCATTCACTGGAACATAAAGGGAAAGATGCTTCTCTTATGTATCCTTTTTGAAAAAGTTCTTCAGATCCCACGAGACCAATGATTTTGGATGCTGCTGCATAGCGTGAAGAACCCACACTTTGCCCATGTTCCCTTTTGTTATGAGTCCCTCTCGGTCTCATTTAACCCCCATCTTTTCTTTTCATACTTTCCAGATCTTTCCGATAGTGGCCTTTATGCATTCTAATGATTTAATTAGCTGCCTTTTATCCTTAAGTCTCTCTCTCAAACTGTATTGAAATTCGATGACTGTAACAATTGTAATGATCCGTTGTGATGCTGGGCAGTGCTGGTCTGGCCCCAGAATACAAAAGGATACGATACTGTCTTGTCCTAGGTTTCTTTGCTTTGCTGTGCTTCCCAAACTTATACAATATAAATCGATAGTTGTATGTGGTATTTGTTTTATCACGGATGTGAGAAATGTGTCATGGAGTCAGACTGAAGACTGAAGATGGTAAAACTGACAAAGATAATACTGTTACCATTTTGCACATGGTTTTCTAACCTGTACTTTGGATTATGTCCCTCCCTCCTGCGGGACCAGCCAGATGAGATGCCAGGACCCATGACTGAAATGAAAAAGGAGATGGAATGAGCAGGAGACGAGATGAATGAATGGAAAGATGAAGAATATATTTCTTTAGAAAAATACACAAATATACACCTTTTTGCTTATCATATACACTGTATTAATTTATACATATACAATAGCATAAGCATTTCATATAATTTGAGCAGTAGGTACAATTCTATTATAAGCAATTTTCTTCAGCCCCTACTATATTAGCTCAATAACATCTAGAATATTTTAGCAATATATTATCACATTTGTACTAGAGCTGCCTGAAATACACTGTTTTCCATGTTTGTAAACAAAAATAGAAACACCATTACATAAACACTGTGGTTGGAAAAATACCTTCTTTTTTAACTCTTCCTTTACATTCTGTAAAAGAGACTTAAACTACTTTAGTATCCAAAATATTTTCTGAAAGAATATAATTTTGGGGGGTACCCTATCTATGTAACCAGAACAAATGTTTTGTCTTTCCACAACTAAACCACTTCCACAGGCAATGGCAGAAAGTGTCAAAGATGAGATTTGTGATTTAAGGGTTTCGATGTATCTCCTCATTTAGCAGACAAATTAAACGATGATAACTCTGATTACTGTTGCAAATTCACAAATTAATTTCAGGTTCCAGTAATAATACTGGCTTATTCAGGGACTTTTGAAGATTTTATACTGAGGAATAAAGAGAGACATGGGAATGTAATTTTGGGTTTCAGTGAGAAACCATGTTAATTTTAAATGAACTGGTATATGGTCAAACTTGTAGTGGTTACATTTCCCCCCTCCTGTGCACAGCAAACAAGAGGTCAGCTACAACCTGACTTATAATTAGCCCTGCTGAATCTTCCTGAAAAAGACTGATATCTTGTTAAGCGTTGAAGCCGGGTGGAAAGCAGTGAGTGAACTTATATGGAGTCCTTTAATTACCAGTCTTAAATATATCTTTTACTGCTAGGTAGCACCCAAGGGCAAGAGGTAATCAGCTTTATAAACTTTGGAGTGGTTTGCTTTCTAAATCCTAGAGCTTAGGAAAGTAGAAAACTTTCTTTAAAGAGAATATTCTCTTCCACTAGAAATTATATTTTTGGCAGTTTTGTGAAAAATTTAGCAAAGGATTCTTTGTGACCTCCCAATTTATATATGCCAGTGACCAAAGCACAATAAGCCAGTTAACAAATTGGCCCATCTAATGTTTCAAGCAAATCGACTCAATTTCTTTTTCATTCAAAGCATTACATCTTCCTTTCCACGTTCCTAGTCATCCCCATGTGAGAAAGCCACTTGGCCGTGTAGAGGTCACGCCGTAATTTGTGGATGGCACAACATCTGAGTAATATCAGAATCGATTGAAATAAAAAAATTAAAAATCAGATCCATAGCCAAATACAGAAATAGTCTAATTCAAATTTTAGAGTTAAAAAGAAAAGATTTTGACAGTGATTTTCATTTTTAAAGGTATAAATGGCTCAAGATTAACAAGGAGCACCCTGTATCTGAACTAGGTCAATTCGACTGTGTTTGTCTTGGATACTTTGCATGCATTACACCTGCATTTCAGCACTGGATGGAAGATGGGATTCACAAGTGTTGCAGTGGGAGACTCCATTCCTAGCCTGTCTCCCATGGCAATAGTACCAAGAATATTCTTCAGCTTCACTATGGACAAAATTACTTAATGATTCTTCACAGATGACATGTTTGGCTCCTGGGAGGATGGGGATCACTTTAAACACTAGGTTGGTTTTTCTCCCAGGACATGGAGGCTCAGAGATCACGATGCTCTATTGGCTTCACATTTAAGCGCTTGTTTCCTGCTCCACCACTTCCACCACTTCCATGGGGATGACCTCAGAGATCTCCTCGCCAGGGTTGATGGCAACTTCGTTGTTCCTGGGCTCCTGGTGGCAGATGTAAATGGGGAGACCACTGCCGGGCTCAGCCTCGGCCTCAGCGGCAGCGGCAGCAGCAGCTGCAGCGGCAGCGGCATTGATGTTGGGGCGCCTGTTGTTGGGGCGCCTGTTGTTGCGGCGCCCGTAGCGCTGGTCGCATTGGATGCTACATTGGATCCACTGGCGCTGCAGGGTAGCTTGGACCTGGAGGAGAAAAGGGAATCTTAGTCTCATACAAGGTCAGAAACGACACAAGCCAAGTTTCTGAGCACAATTCTTGGAACTTAGCAGAAGTTAAAGGTGGGTGATTGAACCATAATTCCAATGTAAAAGGCTGTGTGGTTCGTGCCCCGGCCGTGCAGGGAAGAACTGGCCCGAGTACCTGCCTGAGCCACCGTGGGCAAGGTGACTTGCTACTGCGCAAAGGGTTCTTTAGCCCTTCAGTCCAAGGAATGAAATTTGATTTGGTTTCACGCTGAATACATGGCATACACATCCCATGAGGGAGGAAGAATTGGAAAACATTTTATCTGCTACCACCTCTGATAAGGCAGAAGCCTTATGTAGAAGACATGGAGAGGTAGTCAAGGTAGACCGTGATAAGTGTAAATGAGTTTGTAAAAGTACCTGGCAGAAATAAAAATGTCTTGGCTTCTCCTCACTTGTCCTTTTAAAATAACCCCCATTGGGGCACCATGCATATTAATTAAGTGCCCAGCCCAGCACGAGGTGAAAGGACTTGAAGTCTACTTTAATTTTTTAAAATGACTACAGAAATGTTCATAGCCCTCTATAATCGTATTCCAAAATTATAACCTATCCTTCTGTGTGGAGATACTGGTAACCTGCTTTACTCTGTAAACCACACATAGTAGAATAGACCCTTAGCAGCACACTTTCAGCAATTACACTTTAATAAGGGCAATCACTTTTTACAATGCCACAGGTTGGGCCGAATGCTGCTTTGATCCAAGAATAAGGTTATTAAATTTGTGTGACAAAAAAAAAGTAAGAGATTTTGGTTTTTTGCTCCCAAAGCATTAGAAATGTTAGGAGTTGCCAAGGGGATAGATAGTGTAACATACAGAGTTTTGAATTATTGTATAAATTATCACTTGTTTTAAGAGCAATTAATACAGGTCACTTTAGAGTTTCCCCTGATTATTTCAATTTATTTATTGCCAACTTTAAAGAAATAATGCCCTGGTCTGATGTTTGGAGACATAATTATTGCACCCAATTCCTTTATTAACCTGCTGTGTAAAGTTGGTGCATTTGGGCCTCAGTTTACATACATTTGTAAAAATGAAGATCAAGTTGTAATAGAATATTTTCACTTTGGTCTTATTTGCCTGTTAAGTTCTCCACAATCACCTGCAGTTACGTTATATACTTAAATGGAAGGCAAGGGTTCTGCCAGGAGTTTTGATCCAATGAATGAAAAGATTCTAAGGCCTGCCCCTTCACTTTCTGCCACCACAATTTGACAGACTGCAAAATAAATTTAAGATGAAAAATCATGATTAAAAAAAAATAATTTAAATTCACTTGGAAATTAAAAAGTAGTTGCATGTATAAATGTTTTTATAAGACTTTTGGAAGTTGGGACCTTGTAATATCCTATGAATTAAATGTTAAGGGATACTTCTGAATATTATTGTCTGTATAAATTGTCACCGATATTTTTCCCACCCTTTTGGAGGGCATATCAGCAATAGCTCTACCAGTCTTCATCTTACAGAATTCATATGGTCTTTTGTTTGAGATAATTGGGTACCTGACAATTACAAGATCAGAGCTTTCTAATTCCCTTCCACTACCTATTTTCCTATGTTTGGGGAAGATATTTTGTTTAAAAGACAATAAATATAAGGTTTGTATTTTTGAAAATATTTAATTATTATGTTTCTTAAATAACATTCTTTTTGCACATCCCCCATTCATTAAGTCCAGGTCATTCATTGCTTGAAGGACAAATAACATTCTGCCCAGAGTACTGGTTCTCAAAGCGTGGTCTCCAGACCAGCAGCATCAGCATCACCTGGGAACTAGTTAGGAATGCACATTCTCAGGCCTGTCCCTGCTCTAATGAATAGGAAACTAACTGCTGGCAGGTGGCCACAGTCTGTGTTTCAGCAAACTTCCCACGTGATTCCGACGCACACTTAAGTTTGAGAACACTGGTCTAGAGCAAAGAAATCATGGCTTAGTTTTCAGTCCCAAAGCTGATTTTTCTGAGTCTTTACAAAGATATTAGTTTTGAAAATCAGGTTTTATTGAGTGAAAGAAAGACTTTCTAAATAGAAAAGCTTCTCTTTGTATATGCAATGAAAACCTTACTGGTCTAAAAATAGAACTTTACCAAAAGCCATAATATAGAGACCATGTAGAATATGACATGGTCCCTTACAGACAGGAAATGGCAGTGGTGAGTGCAGAGCTCTTGCAAGCAGGAGAGAAAGAGGAGAGAGAGGTATATAGACACAATGACCTTGCATTTCCCCTTCATGGGGGAAATACCTGGGAAAATGGGGAGAAGAAAGAAAGCAAGGAATAATAAAAACACCTCAATATAGTAGGTTTTTCTCTTTGATTCTGAGAGCAGAGTCCTAAAACGGATAACCCTGTAAAGGAGTCCCACATATTTGGCCTGGCACCATGTCTAACATGATGTCCAAGCAGTGGAGTGGCAATGGCTTACGGTGAAGACAGATTCACAGTATAAGAGAGGATCCAGAATTTCTGGGCTCCTCAGGTGGTTTGGGAGAGAGAACTGTGAATCAGAAGAGGGCTGGGGCTTGGTGGAGGAGGCTGCAGGGTGAAAGGACCTGTAGGGTTCACAGAAGTGAGGGGAGCCACCATGAACTTCAACAGGGGGTGCCGGCATAATACTGGTAACCAGCTGCACCTTTGATCAAAAGCTCTTGAACCAAGTATGTATTTTCTTGAAAGAGACTGTTGTAAACTGCAGGCATGCCTTGGAGATATTGTGGGTTTGGTTCTGGACCACAGCAATAAAGCAAGTATTGCAGCGAAGTGATTTGTAATGTTTTTGGTGGTTGAGAAGGGTGGTCTTGCTTTTAATTTGTAAAAAATATACATCTGTGATGTGCAGTAAAGCAAAAGCATAAAACAACAACAACAACAAGGTATGCCTGTTTTAGAGGCTAGTACAATGGGCTCCTCAAAGCAAGATGCAGTAAGTTACAGCAGATAAACAAAATTGTAGTTCACATACTCTAATTTGTGACCAAAATATTGAGATCCTTCTGATCATGTTACTTGGATCTACAAACTCTTTTATCCACAATGCAGGGGCAATAGCAAGAGGCATGGAAAGGGGAGAAAATCCACAGTGTTGTTAGTACTCTCTCAAGTCTTAAACTACTGCTTGGGAAAGTCGGGCAGCTTCATAGTCATCATCATCTTTCTGAGGTCTCGTAGGTACTCAGTAATTTACCGAAATGTGTGGATGGTCACCATCCACATACTTGGGAGGGTTGTAGGAAATATCTGATCTATAAGCATGCTTGCTGGTCCTCTCCTGATCTCTACGACTGTGATTCTCCAAATTTCTCCCCTGCTTATAATCGATCCATTGACTGTCTAACCCACTTCCACAATAGGAGTCACTTGTAATATACTGATAGTAGGTGATTGAAAACTTCATCTTCCTTGCACAACTGACATATCAGCCCCCTTGGTCTCTGCTAACACTCAATATTCAACCAGGCAAAACTCAATCACAGCTCAATATCAGATACAGCGGGAAATAACCTCCAGTGCGTATGAGCACTCTGCCTGTGCTTAATGTTGTAAGACGGTGTGTTCACAGCAGGCACAGCTCAGACCCCGATACCTAAATCCATGGGCTGTGATATTACATTTGAAACAGTACACAACTTATGTGTTATTAGAAATGTCACACTTGTACTTTCCACCAGCAACAGGATCATAATTAAAATGGGAATGGTTTCTTTCTTCAAAAAGCAGAGATAACCTGCTCCCATGAACTAGACACATCGATTGTTAGTAGTGCCTCTGGGTTTGCTTTCTGTGCCCAACACATCACAGACAGCATCGTAAATTAGGACACAATAAATATTGATGTATTTTTACAAATGCATGCAATCTTCTCATGTTTTCATGGTATGCCCCTGCTGACCCTGGTTTTTATATTAGCTATATATTAATATTAGTTTGGATACAAAATACTTATTGTGTATGTCACCTGAAACAACTCAAAAGGCAAGGATATACATTCACAGAAATTGATATAAAGATGGAGTGACCTAAGCCCTTCTTATTTATTAGTTTTTACTATTGTTTAAAAAAAGGAAGAGACACTTTAACAGCTGGCCTGCAGGCTCGCCCTTAGTAAGAGTCAATGCACACTGTATTTTTGTTGAATAAATGAATGAGTGGATGGATGAGTGGATGGAGGAAAGAAGAAAATGTACTAAAAGGAAAGCAACAATAATCTTGAGATATTGGGATTGGAGATGATATAAATAGGTCGCAGAGCAGCAAAATATTGGTGCTCACTAAATTCGGTTCTATTGATTATTAGAAAATCTTTCTAATTGCTAACAGGAAATAATAGGTTGATCTCTTTATAAAATGTAATTTTCCTTGGTAGAATTTTTCTTTCTAGGAAACTGATTTAATGTTATGAAAAGTACTTTTACATTAAAAGTTATGTGACATATAACTACAGAAAGTCTATTAACAAAACTTCAGGGAGGAATCATGGACATAATACAGTACAGTGGAAGATTTAGTTCATTTGATTAAGAATCAGGAAATTTGGGTTCTAGTCCTGGTGATTCAACTATGATTACGACATTGGGCAAGTCACATGATCTTTCTGGAGCTCAGATTTCTCACCTGAAAGAGGAGGGACATTTCGAACCACGTTCCCTGGAGCCCTGGGAGTTCTTTGGTACAAATTTAAGCAGCTTCACTTTTATGTTTTACAAACTGGGCTCCTTGGCTAGATTTCACCGGAAGAAAGGGAACTCTGGCTAGAAATGCCTGAACACGCTGGCTATGAGCATTCTCGATTTTAGATCTGAATATTCAGATAGTATATTAATTATTTGAGTCTTAACTTCAGGGTGATTTTCAAAAATGTTGTCTTGGTGACATACTACTGCACCAAGCTTCTGGAAAGGAGGCAGCGAACCACACAAATAGGCTGGATATTGGCTCTGCCCTAGTGAGCAGTTGGGTCTTTTAAAAAGAATGGGGCATGACCTTTCTTTCTGTGGGAATCCAGCATGGCTTTCACTATTGCTGCTCAGGGTGCAATCCAAGGAAACCATAATTTAGCTGCCTGTTTGAGTAATATCTGCAATTGTACCACACAGCACAGAAAAGATTCACCTTGCAGTGGTGGAAAAACACAACCCCACTAGTCATGGAGCCATGAAAAGAGCACTGTGGACGTGAGCCCAGATGAAAAGCAGCCCTCTGGAAGATGTAAAGTGCTGGCTTTATATAAACAAGCAGTGTTATCATATGAAAGGCATGCTTACGTTGCTGTTGTAGAAGCAGTAAATCACGGCGACGAAGAATCCCTACAGAGAGGAGGAAAGATAGAGTTGAAGTTACTTTCATCTACATTACATTGTTTAGCCATTAATATAAGTAGACAGTCTGGAGAGGACCATTTTACTATTGCGATAGCCAGTCAAGGCTCGATGAAAAAGCAATTGCTACCACTCACATCCAGTGCTTCACTGCAGTTGGGCAACTGATCGGCATGGGTTATGTTGTTCTTCAGAACTCCCTCCAATAAAACAAAATACAGCCCTCAAAATACTGGGGAGGGGAAGGAGAGGTTGAAAGGACTGTGGAGATGAGAGCTTGTTCTTAGCACCGTGTGATGGCTCCGTCCCTGAACAGATATTTGGACATAGAGGTGACTCTCCAAGCCCATACCCCCCTCTTTCCTTCTTCAACTTTTAGATTCAGAAAACAGGGAAGCTGGCAGTGAGAATCCCTTCCAGGTTACACATGGTCAAAAGGGTCTTCTCATCACAGATGAGCCCCAGGGGATGGGTCATCCTGCACCAATCAGCAGAGCATATCATGGAACACACACACCATTGGCTTCCTCACCTGGAAGTGAATCAGAGAGTGCATCAGGTAGTCGTAGATCTGGGCAAGCACCTTGTTGTTGGGCCTCCAGGGAAACACAACGAACTGGGCTCCCAGCAGGGGCACCAGGAACAGAGTGGCCTTCACCGCCTTCAGGTACATGTAGGAGTCGGGCTGCTGGGCTTCCTTCATCTTCTTCACGAGCACGCGGATGATGTTGAGCAGGAAGAAGAAGTTGACCTGCAAAGACACGATGTCACGAGTGAGCAGACCACCAGGTCAGTACCGCTGGAGGACACCCACTTTCCTCGGTTCTTCTTTCCCTGGGGTGGGGAGCCCACCCACACAGGACTGCCTGAAGGGTCGTTCAGTGTGCTTGGCACTGCTGGGACACTGAGCATCCATCAGTAATTGTTCTTTTTATTAGAGGTTATCATTAAGTTAGCTTCATTTGAAAGTTATCATACATGCTAATAGAACCATCGCCAAAGAAATCCCCAGAGATGACACTGTTAGTAACGGACTCCAAAAGCAGTTCTCACCACCAGTGCTGCCATGACCGGGCCGTGGATGATGTACAGCAGGTGGGTCTCCGCACTCAGCCAGCAGCTGGACAAAGGGAGGGGGCGAATACATCAGTACGAATGCATCTTATCTACAGATGTTAACTAAAAACATCCACAGTGCTTACTTGTCATTGAAGTACAGGGTCCTGGTAACGGCATGGATGATAGTTGGCACCATGGGGAAACCTAAAAATGTGAAAAGGTACCAATTACACCTGGCTTCTGTGTCATAAGCTATAACTACAGTTGCATAGAAAATGATGGCTTACTTTTTTAAAAAAGTGGCAAATTAAACGTTTCTCTCAAGATAGTTCCCTGATGTTTTTGCACAAATATCTTTGGTCAAACCAGGTAAAAATGTTCTTGGTTAGAACATCATAAGCTTTCAGAGAGTTTGGTTAAGAGCAACCAAATAATTAAAGCCTCTCACAAATTATCCAGGGTGGTAGACACATGATTACCTCTCTAGGACTAGCACCATTGTTACGTCTCGATGAGGTGATGATGACGACCGTAGACCAGAAAACTTTTCATTGCGTGTGACCTGGGCTCTTTTAGGGAGAGAAGCTGGGGTCACTGGGAGCATATGGAAGTGGCGGTCTGACTGCTCTGAAAGCCCTGTTGGTGTTTGCAGTATAGTTTTGTGGCTTTTTACTTCTCTGTCTCTACCATGTGCAGCGATGCTGTTCTCTTTCAATAAGAGAGCTTCAGAGTAGCCAGTAAGCTCTGGCTGCAGACTTGTATTAAGGCAGCTTAGCACTGACCTCCCTGACTGCCCTTGAAGTGCTAATGAAAACAACTTTGAATTTACAAACAGAATGATGGAGGTAGTTATTGGCAATGCATCCTGTCAGGATACTTCTTTAAAAAAAATAAATGTTCATTCTATACAGCTAATCTAGATGAAAGTTGTGATTTTTGTGAGAAAAAAGATGTCTTTTTCCTCAAGTGTACTCATGTATAATAGCACATTGTTTAATTTGGTTGAGAAACTTGTAGAATGAGCTTTCAAATTTTATCAGATCAAGAAATGTGTCTCAGAAGTGAATTAGACCTACACACTTTGATTTTCTGTGAATTACAGGCAAACAAGGGAATCCCTGAAAATCCTGAGCTTCCACCAGAGAACAACCTCATCTTCTAAAGCCATGAAGCGTATAATTCAATAGGACTGTCGATTAAATTGTAATTTTGACCTGAAATAATTTTGAATTTGACCATTTACACAAAACATAATTGTGTTATATCGACAGCAGTTCTAGTGTACTGTTTCCCCATGGGGGTGCAGAGAAATTCATTCTCTGAATTTTCTCTGAAATACATGCTTCTAATGAGACGACAAGAGAGGCATATGGAGGTCTCACTCCACCTCATCCTGCTGTAGGAAGGAAAATGTGCTTCTTTCAGAAATAGATTTACCTCCTTTTTCTTCCATGAAAGTTTTTGAGTATGGCAGATAGATGTTCTTAACTAGTCAAAAACTGATACAGGAAGTATACCATAGATTTGACTTCAAAGGATGGAAATAAACTATTTAGATCAGACAGAATGGTGTCTGTGTGTGAGTGCATATTGGTAGGCCTGGGATGCGGTGCTATTTCCATGAGATACTTTTATTCTGATAATTTCTCTCTTTTTGCTTAAATTAGAACATCTTGATCTCTGTCATTTGCAACCAAAGAGTTATAACATCATCAGTTCAATGTTGATATACCCCGAGTATCTGTTCCATTGACCCACGATTACAGGATATCTCACTGGGTTCAGGTCATGTGCTTGGTTAAAAATCCATGTGTTTCTATTAGGGAGGGGCATTATGGAAACAAATCTTGCCTAGGGCCAGCCCTGGTCTAGATTGTAGAAAAGACTTTGAGCTGCTTATAGGACTTCCCGGGCACATTTCTATACACTTGGTAACACTGTCTGTTGGGCAGGGGTTTAAATACAAAGACTGATGTTCTGAGAGAGCTTTTGGATTATTCTCTATCCTCAGTAAATCCTTTCACTCTTACCAGTATTTTTAGGAGTTCCCCAAAATGCTGCATTTAAACATCACACTTAGCTGAAGATACTCTATAGCCTCTGCTCTAAGAGTCACAGTCATCTTATTGGCAGATGGCAAGAATCCTCCTCTAGTATGGGAGTTTCATGGGACTTTTAAGAAAATAAAGCAGCGTGCATTTTTGTCCCAGAAACTTTTCCCTTTCAAGACCTCACTATCTATCTTCCCCCTTTCTACCAGAGTGGGCTACACTGATAGAGCCCTGGGGGAAGGGAAGCAATTCTAGGGAGTCCTCATGGACCTGAGAGCCCTACTTTAGTCAATCTACAGAAGCGGTTACCGCGTGAGCAATCCAGCCATAAGTTTTCCAAAGCCATTGCCATGCACTATGAAGTCAGATGGGCCCCATTTGGAGGCCCACGTGGTTATACCCATTGCTCATCTAGACTCTACTCCTTGACATTTGGTTGGAGGAACCCTGCTGATGGATTGATAGGAAGGAATGTTCTTGAAGAAGGTATGTGGGCCAGGGTGGGGGACATACAGAACTCAAAATGGGACATTCTCCTTTGCTCTACAAACAAGTGATAAATAAAACTGAAGGGGGCCTAGTCCGATTTTCTCTCGGTCGGGTATGTTTTCTGTCCATTCAGTAGCTGAATGCCCTGAAGACACTCATCATGGTGTCCCTCTGTCCCCAAACTGTCCCCACCCCATGTTCACCACAGTCTGTATAAACTTGTTAAAGGGCTTCTACCAAGCTCTCCTGGAGACCAAACTCCTTCCTGCATCTGTCTCATCATTCCTCAAAGGACCTGGGCCCCTGATTGTTCTCGGACACCAAGACCAGAAGGAGATTGTACATACACAGACAGAGGTGAAAGAGGCTCAAAACTCAGTTGGAGGCAATACGTACCCCAGCCCAGGAGATAGTACCACTTCATGCGCTGTTTCTCAGTGAACACGGACACCACGATGAGTGTGTGCAGGTAGATCCCTTCGCACAGCATCCAGAAGTAGTTGCAGGACATCAAGTAGTGGTTGATAAAGTGCAAAACCTTGCAGCTCAGCTGTCGGAAGGAAATGGACATACTCAGTAGGAGACACGGGCAAGGATGCGACAGTGAGCAGAGGGTAAATGTGAAAATGAGCCAAAGTGTCTGCATCAGCCTGCATTTAGCTTCCCCAAACATCTGCCAACACGTGCCATCCTCTATATCCACAAGTCTGAGCAACACTTGATTGATTGGATTAAATTCTACCTTTCAAGTGTTTTATAGTTTGTTTTTTCTCTAGGAAGTTTGCTTTTGCATAGCTAAAAAGAACAAGTCTTTTGGCTCCACAATATCTTGATTTGATAGCATCAAGGGTTAGTTAGGTCATAAAGATAAGCTTCTTCCCTGGTTTTCAAACTTAGGTCACTTTGAGGATGCTTAACGTGTGTGAGACTGCCACCCACTCCTCCAGAAGAAAACCTCCTGTACAGTTCTCTGGCTCCCCCATCCTCAAATGTAACATTCCCCCAGGACGCCAGCTGTACAGTGGCTGAGGCAGGACACTATACACCTGGTGCTGGGTGTAAAGCTTTCTAGGCAATATGAAAGCTGCAGGGCAGAGTGAGGCTGGCTTTTTGGTGCTGTGGAAGCAGACTGAGTGCAATGGCTGATGGAGTACATAGGCATGTCTGCCTCTAAAGTATCCTATGAAAGGGGAAATATCCAGCGATGATAACTCATAAGACCATTAAAAGCAATGACTAGAGCAACAGATGGGTTGGGAAAGCCTTGTGCAGAGACCTAGGGAGTCAGCCACAGGGCAAAGGTTCATAGCAACCCTGAGGGCAGTTGCTTACAATATTATGCCCTTAGAAATTTTTTAAAGCTTTATGTTTTTTTTTTGGAACTATAAGGCAATCTCTTGGGAAAAAGAGGGGAAGTATTTACTATTTGCATTTGATAGATAAGGTTAAATAATTTATATAATTCAACAGTGAACTCAGAAAAATCCTGAACTTAGACTATTTCAGGAAGATAACAGGTTTACCAGATTTCACAATAGATGAGAAGCCCCCTTCCCCCTAACAGCCAGGAGTGGGCTGGTGGTACGACACATGAGTGTCAGACCCCACAAGAGAGATAAGGGTTTATTTAAGAATTTATGATAGTTCATAATTTGATGGAGCACAGCTCACAGGGTTGATCATTTAGTGATTATTCAGTGAAATCCCCATTTCCTGGCCTACTTTGTACAGATAATAAAGAGCTTTCTCAGGGTTTCCACACTTAGTGGGAAATGGGAAGCCACAAATTTGAGTTTTTCCTCTTGAGAGATGCTTAGTTAATTGCTTCTACATCTGTTTCAAACTTAGTGGGGGTCAACCTCCTTAATTAAATGTAGTGTCTACGTCCAGTTACAGACAGTCATTCTTCTGGAATGGCTGAGCCCATCTCCTTAAGAACGCCTCTTCCCAAGGAAAAGAACGAGACAACCAAAAGCACACGCAGTGAGGCAGAGAGAGGCTGGGCTTCTGTGGGAGGCAGGTCTGGGTCCGAATCCCATCTCTGACCTGCCACAGCGCAGAGGACACGAACCTTTACTGTGTCTCTGTTTACTCAGCTCATCATGGATATAATACCCACCCTCCATTGAGGTGTTAGGAGAATTAAGTGAAATGAGATTACTTTTATTGAAATCAGTTGACAATAAAAAAAGAAAAGTCATCAAGATAAACCCACTGGTTCTCGTTCTACAGGTTAAGATAGGACTTTGTCTCAGATGACAAAGGCCATGGTTTCAGACGATGGATCACAATTCCTTTTTGGATATATTCACACTGCAAAAAATTATTAACACCATGGGCCCATTAGAAGCCAAATTAAGCTGCTTTCCCATGCCATGCCACTGTCACACAGGATGCATGCTCTGGGCAGATTTCACGCATTTTTGTCATTGGGTTGGCAGAGTTGTCAAATGCCAGTTCTGAAAGATGAGGCTATCTACAGATGCTTGCATAACACAGCTAAGCAGAGAAACAAAAATGCAAACACCCCTCGGCCATTCATTCTGTGCTAGAAAGCATCTGTGCTTCGAAATGCACTCTCCACCCTGCTCCACTGCCCTGGGCACAGGGAAACACCTCTGACTGTGGCAGTGAGGGCTTCCTTGCCCTGTGGTTTCTGGTTGAGCTCAGTTGATGGGACCATCAGTGGAGATGGGAGATGAGAGTGAGTGAAGTAGGGGTAATTAAACCTTTTTCAAGCCATGCAGATAGAGAATATGATTAATATTTAGATGGCTTGCTAGAGTCAATGCATAGTTATCTATTGCTGAAGTATCTGGCCCAAGCCCAGCCTGCTGCCAGAATGCTGAGGGGATTAATGTTTAGGCACATTTGTAGCCCATTAAGTGACAGGCTGGGCCACTGGGGAAGCACTGCGCCAGTGTACCTAGTACTGCCTATGTTCATATGGTGTGTGCAGTCAACTCCCCATAAATGTTCATGCATCTTCAATTAGCAGTGAAAACTCACAACTGGTTGTGTACTTATTTGCTTATGAATGAATTATTCCCATCCCTTTACTGTAGCACATACCAATTAGTTCTAATAACTGCATAGAAATAAAAGGTATGCCTTGCTTAATGCAAAACTGAACTGTAAAACTAAATACGGTTGCACATGTAAAAAAACCTGCTTAAATCAAACAATAATACCATGTTCACTACTTACAAATACTATTAAGTCTTACATTCTTAAAAATAAAATTGAACATAAACACAGCAGCGCTCACCGGATCCATGCTCACGAACTCCTCGTTGGGCACCACTTGAATCAGGTGGATGAGAACAGTGATGGAATTCAGGATGTAGGTCAGAAACATGTGCTTGTGTATAGTCACCCGCTGGCAGCTGAGGCTCCTGGGAGGAAAAGTAACAGTATTAAGCAGTGCCAAAATGCTGAAGTACCTGGGGGGGGAAAACATGTTGGCAATATTTGTAATATTGCCTTTAGCAATAGTTGAGAGAACATACTGAAGTAAGTGAGGCTGGTCCCATCTATAAATCTTATTGTACTTTTCTGTCTGATTTTTAAAAAGTTTTCTAGTCATGGGAGCTCATAGTTTTCAGTCCTCAGGTGACTTCATAACAAATGAAAGGGGTGTGTGATAAAATCACTTTTAATTATAACGGATGTGAAATTACTTGAGAAGACAGCTCTTACAAGAGAAACCATCACAGTCTGGTATGTGCTTCAGATGAAAAGTTGACTCTTTATTTATGCAACCAGGCAGGAATCGTGTAGCAAATGGGACAACAGGGCATGAGGTCCGAACTAAGGTGGCCTGTGACAAAGCACTGAACCCGTGTCCTTGGCCCATCACATACACAGGCTTTATCAAGTCTCCCATCGTCCCTCTCTGCGGGTATTTCTTTGAACAGATTTTTAATTCTCATATTCCAACTGGGATCGACTTTGTGGTTCCTACTTTCCACATCCTCCTGATGGTGGAGCTCAGACACAGGCAAAGAATTTCAGATACGCTCAGGCTGGATCTCACTGTGAGGCATGTGTGGTTTGGATCTGATGACACACCTTGTGGGGCTGAGCAAGTTGCTGGGTTCTTTTTATTCATTTGCCCTCCACTTCATAAACTTGTAATATGTATTTGTGTGGATGGATGTTCATGAGCATAAATATCTTATTTCACTATTTGTTGTAAGTGAAGAGAGCCTGTAGAATGGCTCTAACAAAACTGGAATGATTATCTTAGATAAATAAATAGCTTGCATTTACTGTATTTGATCCAGTTAAAAAATGTTTAGCATCAGGTGAAAACTTATGGCATTCAGTTAACGATGCTAAAAATTGATCATAGTAGCTAATCAAAAGAGAAAATCCAGTGATAGATTAGATTTACCTTTCACTTCTCACAATCACTTTTAATATTTTGAGATGCAAATGTAAAGAAAAATGTGAAGAATTAGAAACACACAGTAATCTTAAGAAAATGGTGTCCTTGATATTTTTGGTTTGGGAAGGTTTAAGATGAGGTTAAGAACATGTATAAAAATCTGATATAACTCCATTTGGATCTGGATATTTAGCACGAGTGTTTTCCACATCCTGTTTGTTTCTTGTTGTGTGTGCTCTGGAGGAACAGCTATTTCATGTCTTCCCATTATTACATTCAGATTATAAGTCAAGACTTTTTTTAACCAAGATTTAAGTTGTTTGACAGGTTCTTGGAATTGAGACAGGAGAACAAAATCCGGTGCTTTCCAGACAATCTGCCCCCAAAGTTGATCTGGGTTTGAGCAGGGTGATCTTGCTTTGGGACTAACTGGATTTGGGAAATGTTTCACTTGGTCCGTGTGCTGCACTTTTAAACACCCATTTGCACTGACTTAATGTAGCAATGATTGTGAGAACATTTTTTCTTTGCTGGTTTGGCTCTCACATCTCATCAATTATTCAGGTGGCAGGAGAAATAAAGAACTAAGAAATGCCTCCTTGACATTTTTAATCTTTAAAGTCCTGAATAAATTTATTATTTGCACCATTATAAATTTGAGCACTTTTTTCTTTGAGTTTTCTTTCAGTTATATCAAAAATCTTAAACAATAGACTTTCAGTGGCAGAATTTTTCATCAAGGCTGTGTGAGAGCCACGATGTATTTATTTCCTGTTGCCAAGTGCAGTGGGAAAATGAACAGGCATTCCAAGATCAATCATGCCATGTGTTTACTTTGCTATATTTTGATCATTGTAATTGAAAATACTCTTATTGTAATTCTAGTAATTAATCCCTCGGGTCTCATTGCTTTGCTTATGTCTTTCTCCTGTTATACTATGTATGAAAGGAGCTCATTCTCTGTTATTATTTGCTATCCAGTTAAAAAATATTCAGTAATATTGCCAGATCAATGTAAGAATCTTGACTACATAAGGTCTAGACATAATATAATATATAATTATGATATAAAATATAGACAAAGATTAAGAAAGAATACAAACAATAGTTGTGGTAAGGGTGGCTTTACAAGTGCTTCTCTTGGTTTAATTTTCTTCAGTGTCATCATGATATTTTAAGAAAAATCAAATGAAGATCCTGCTTATGAACCACTATGTATTTAATTATATAACACATTTCCAAAGTATGTAGCATTATTTGTAGTTTGGACTACAAAGAAGCTTTCCCTCATCATTCTTCATCTTTTGGAAGGCGGGCCCCTTGTAGTACAGGCTTCCCTTGCTAGGTGAGTGTTTAGGAACCCATCTGTATCAGTGTACTAGCTGGTGTTGTTGTGAGAGGTTGTGCTCAGCTTCAGAGAATTTTTTTTGAAGACTCAACATGTTTCCCTGTCTCATAATGGGTGATTTACAAGTGTACCTGTCCACAGGGTCCTGAGTGCACAGCAGTTTTTAACCAAAAACAGCATGATCCCTGTGCCGCACTCTCCCTATTCATCTGATCTTGCCCCCAAAAAGGGAAACATTTTGGTGATGTGGAAGAGGTAAAACAAAAAATGGCAGAAGCACTATATAGGCATCAAAATTAACGAGTTCAAACATTCTTTTGAGCAGCGGGAAAAAGTCTCAATAGGGGTATTGCATCAAATGGAGACCACTTTGAAAGTGACTGAAGTTTAAACATGTAAGAATAAATACACATTTTTTTATAAATAAATTCCAGCCTTTTTGGGTCTCCCCCTTGTAATTCCACCACAACTAAATTAGTGGCAGAAGACCCCACAGTAACATAGAAGCCAGAAGTCTCAGGAAAGGGTAATGTAGCACCTCCTACCTTTGGTTTAAAGAAATTACACTAAATTTAGGACATTTTTAGGACCAAATTTAACATATATTACTCTCTCACATACACTATACAGAATCAGTGTTTTAAATTCTCCGTTATTGGGAAATCAGTATCTATATCAACTCCATCGTTTGCCACAGATAATGCGATCGAGTGTATAGACACAGAGTCGGAACAGAAATCCATGTTGAAATTTTATTCCTTACACTGTCTTAAAAGATATCTGCAGTTAACAATGCTAGGTTTGTAAGGGCAAAAGATTGACACTTGACAACAGCCATCTTCTTGCAGACCTTCTCCTTGACCCTGGCTGGGTGAGTCAAGGCCAGAAGGGAGGAGGCTCACCTTCCTTCTCTGGAAAAATACCATCATGGCCCATCAGTCCCACTTCTCTTCTGGCCAGATCCGCTTGTGACACTGCTCAAAATCAGGCAGGGTGCAATTGAACTTGTGGCCACGGCCTCCATATTTTTGAGTGGGGGTAAAAGAAGGAGGAAGACCCTCTCCTCAGTACTTCATGGAACCTTAGTCATGGTAATGGAACCTTTACCCTGTTCACACAGTGGACTCAAGGGCTCGGGACTGTTTGGTTTTGTGAAGGAGGAATGCTGCCTTGAAAGATTATATGAATCTATCTTATTGTCTTCTAAGGTAGGGTTAAAAGTGCATTTTAATTAATATTATTATTTTTGCTATTTCATGACTCCTATATATTATGATTTGCAGAAAATCCTCCCCTCCCCCACCTAACTTTTACAGAGTTTTCCATTTACTTCGGTAACATAAAGAAGATAAAAAGCAGAGGCTATAAGGGTACTTACTTGAAGCACACGAAAATTCCCAGTGAAACCGACAGAGTGGAAAGAGAAGCAGAGTGGCCCACGATAGCCAGGTAGTACAGAATGTAAGCGTTCTGGAACAACAGCAACAATAAAACATTCACAAAAACAAATGCATGAATAACTGACTATAGAAGAAGGAAATAGTCTCCTTTAAAATTCCTACTAAAATTGTAACAAGTATTTCAGAGCACTTCTTTATATTAAATTATAATAAACCGATGAACAGATTGAGTAGTATAAGATTAAGAACGTGCATGATACTGTGGGAAAAAGACAAGACTGGGCTTATCAGAATAGTTCTTTACTCAGAATATTATTATTAAGTCTCTGTGTGGCTTTTATTCTACCTCTGTGGTCCTATCTGTGAAGCAGTTTGTTGGACTAGATGATTTTTAAAGTAGTTATGTGCTACTACTGAGAAATGCCACTAAACACTGGGATACAGACATAGTGAATGTAGGAGGATGGGAAAGGTGACCCAGATTGACACTAACCACAAGATGACTGGTGTGATACCACATAGGTGCAGATGCTAAGTCAGGAAGATACCACAATTTTAAATTTCTACATACCTAATAATATAAACTCAAACCATATGAAGCATAAAGGAAAAACTGAAACCTCCTAGTAACTGATAGTGCACACAGACAAAAATCAAGCTATAGAAGATTTGAACAACGTGATTAACAAATTTTACTAATTCGCATGTAATAAACCCTGTACCCAACGTCTGCTGAAGACCCATTCTTTTCAAGTGCTGACTCAATATTCAAAGAATATTTACCCAAGATGACATACACCAGTCAGTCTAGCAAATCTCCACATAATTCAAGTAACTGAAATCTTAAAGATCACGTTTGCTGACCACAATAGTTTAGAAGTTGTCAATGAAAAGAAAATTTGAAAGACACTCTCATATTGCTAGGAATTAAGCAATACATTTCTAAATGACTACTGAATCAAAGAAGAACTCACAATGGCATGTCAAAACTTTTTAGATGAAGGTGAAGCTGTACATAGAAGGAAGTTTAAAGACTAAAAAGCATGTGTAAAAAAATGAAGAAGATTGAAAATCAATGACCTAAATTTCCAGTTACGCAAAAATTAAATTAAACTAAAAGAATGTAAAAGAAAGGAAATTGTAATGCTAAAGAGAATTTGAACTTACAAAACAACAAAGATAAAAATTAGTTCTTAAAAAATTTGTTCAAGACTGATCAAAGAAAAAACAAGAAAAATGAGAATATATGTCAGCACAAAGGTTTATAGCAGCCTTATTTATTAGAGCGAAACAGTGGGAGCAACTCCAGTATCCATCCGCGGTTCATTCACAGAACGGAATACAGGTGCACGCTGAACACCAATACGGGAAAAAAGGACAATTGATACTTACATGTCCAGTTTTCAACAAACTAAAGTGCATGTTCTAAATTGAAAAGAATTAAATATACAGGTCATTATCTGTTTCCTTCTATAATATAGTTTAGCTTTCTGGCAGCAGGTACTTTGCAGTTATCACATATTTCTATGTATAAGTAATGGCATTTCAGCAAATACTGAAATTTGAAATAAATCCTACCTTCAGTTTCTCAGCACTGAAAGCATTACACATACTGTAGTTAGTGGAGGTCTTATTCCTCTCAGGATCTTCAAACCAAATTCCGTTTTGATCACAGTATTTTGAAGCCTTTTCTGTTAATGAAATATAACAGTTGTTATTACATTACCATTTCAAAATAACATGAAGGAAAAATAATAAAATAAGGCTTAAAAGTCATTCTAAAATGTTAATCCCTTTATAGAACTTGAATATGAATATCACTAAACAGAGGCCACCATGAATCTACTAGATTATAGAGATGTTTTAATTATACAAAATGTTTTCATATGTGCTGTCCCATTTTATCTGCAGCAGAGCCCTGTAAAGCAGACATTGCTACCTCCATTTCCCAAACAGCATGAAGCCATGAGGGAGGTTGTGGAATTTGAAAGGTCAGCGCACAGCGGGTGGGCTAGGACTGAATACCTGGTCTGTCGGATGCCAAAGTGCTAACTACACTGTACCTCCTATGTTTTTTAACAGACATTAAACTAATGATTTTAGATAGAACTATGTGAGAAGAGCAAGACATACTTTCTTCATTTATACACAATATTTATTTACTAGATTGACTTATGAGACCGTAGTTTTTGTGGGTCAGATGGTCAGACATGGGCAATTTCACATGGTTAAATTCAATGGAACAAAGAAGTCCACCACTAAGGGATGTATAAAGAAGTCAATTTTATGCCTCTCAGAAAGACTTTATTATTTATCTATCTATCTAATCCTCACATGAGGACATTTTTCATATTGCTTTTAGAAAGAGAGGGAGGGAGAGAGGAAGGGAGAGAGAGAAATATCGATGTGGCAGAGGAGCATCGATTGGTTGGCTCCCATGAACACCTGGATCAATTGCCTTCCGTACATGCCCAGATTGGGGATCGAACCCACAACCCTTCAGTCATGAGATGAAGCTCCAACCAACTGAGCCACAATGGCCAGGGCAAAAAGATTTCATCTGAATCATCTCTCTTCATCCCACATAGAATTTATTAGATTTAGCTTTTATTGATTAATTCATTGTTTTTAATTAATTAATTGAAATAATTATTTTTATTTTAACTTACTGGTTTAGTGAGAGGAAAAAGAGGAGAGAGAGACATTGATTTGTTGTTCCAATTATTCATGCATTCATTGGTTGATTCTTGCAAGTGCCCTAGCAGCGTTCGAGCCCACAAACTTGGCATATTCGATGACGCTCTAACCAACTGAGATACCCGATCAGGGCTATTAATTGCTTTTTAAATCATCTTTTACATGATAGTGAAATTTGCTGATTCAGCTGGACTGGTGTATTAAAGATCTTTACCTTTGCAGTGGGCAGGCACTGTGCTAACAAGCACTTTACAGAATTATCTTCTAAATGTTAATGCTAATGATCATTTAAAGTGGGTATTGCTCTTCCCATTGTACATGGGAGGAAACTGAGGCTCAGAGAAGTTAAGTAAATTCCCCTTCTCTAGCGAGTAGTAAGGCCAGGATCAAACCCAGCTCTACTTGATCCCAAGGCCATGGCAGGGCTATTAAACTCTGCATTTAACCATATAGTCCTGTGGCAAGGTTACTTATAGTCCATTCCAGTGACCCAAGGAATCATAAATATCTTTGTTTACTATAAGATAATATTTAAATTCCAATCAAATTTACTATACAATTGGAAGAAAATTCTTTTGAATTAAATAAAATCAAAATAATGATAAGTTAAACATTCAAATGTTTATCTTTGGCACTTGCCACATTGAATTTAGCTCTCCAAAGTACCCCTGCAATGTATATATTGCCTGAGATATTGTATAACATGAATAGGTATAAAATGCAAAGAGATTTTACCAATGCATTTGGAATACTCAACAAGTTTTGATTTTTGATAATTTCTTGGGGAAAATATTTTTGAAGTATTTTTCTTCATTTACAAAAGCAAAGATCTGTAGATAAATGAATCTACAGATAACTCTATTTTATATGGCTTTGGCCTTTTTTTTTTTTAGCAGAGGGATGTGAAAATTGAAATCATATACTAATATTTGGAGGACACAGCCATCGTTTTAAAGGCTAAATAAAAAAGTCATGTTAAAAAATTATTTGACTGAAATATCATTGAGATCTGATAATATTTAAAAATAGTTTTCTATCAGTAGTTTTGGTAAGTCAATCAATATGCTGAGAAGCAGTACGAAAATCTTTTTATCTTTGTCAGTTTTTAGATGAAATTTGTAATTTTTTTCTTTGTATTACTGAAACAGATACTACCAGACTAAACACAAGATTTAAACTGCAAATTGTATATTTATTTCTATGTCTACCCTAACAATTATTTAAAGTGGTGGAAAGGGGTGGGGGGAAAAGACAGAAAACTGTACTTGAAAAACAATAAAAAAGAAGTGGATGCAAAAACACATTTTCAAGCAAAAGAGGTTTACGAACAACCCATTAGTATCATTGCTTAATGTAAATCTGTTAAAGAGTCAAACAGAAAATTTTTGAATTATGAACGTGCTGAGACAACCATTGGACAAAAACTGTGTAAATAAGTGGATATCACCAACATTTCAAAAACAGCTAGCACTAACCAGCTTAGAAAAATTAGCACTAGAAACTGGTCAATGGTTCTGTTAATCCTATTTGTCAATGATGACCATTCCAAGCTTACTTGCAATTTTAAAAAGTGGCTTGTAATGCAGCATTTTACTGTCAGAAGTAGTTTTTTGTTTTATTAAAATAAAAACAATTTGGTTTTAACAATGTTATGTAATGACATATGGCAAAATATATCACACAGAAGAGACGTGTTCGTCCTGGAGTCATTCCAGTCGTGGACAGGGTGGCAGGACATATTACTGTTTTGTTTTGATTTAACTACAGTGTGGACACAGGCATCTCCTGTTCTGATTGTCGCAGGCATCAAGAATTTGACTTTTTCCACCTGGCAAGTCTTTCAACATTCGAAGAGAGAATATGTGTATTCTGATTTCTCTTTCCAAACTGAACCCCTTCGCTCACACACACAGCTCACTGTTCTTCCAGTGAGGCCTGGAGCCTCCTGCGTGGGCTTGAACTGCAACACTGCCCTCCCTCTACAACATCCTGAGTTTGGACTGGCCCACTGGGAGGACAGCATGCTTCCCTCACTCTAGGTTCACATGGAGGAGCTTTTCACAAATATTCAGGCCCAGCCTCAGGGATTCAAATTTCCCCCGGTCTGGAGAGGCAGCAGGCATGGGAGGTTTTACATAGCTCATTAATTCCAAAGGGTGTCAGGGCTGGAAATCATGGTCCTCACCCATCTTAGCTCTGTGCCATTGGTGTGGATGAAGTGGTTGACTCCAAGGGCAGCCTTAAATACCTCCTTGCTAAATTAGCTTTTTACACTCTAGCGTATTCCTTCAGACTATTAGCCTTTCTTGAATCTCAGCACTGTCATTCACTCTTCCATGACCTGCCTACCTCTACCAAGCACGTTGTCTAAAAGGACATCTCTGCCATTTCATTAAACTGTTTTGTGTATCATTCAGATACACAGTTTTGGGTTAATGGTAACAACCTAAGGAATTTGTTTGCTCACTATGGGGATTTTTAAGGTGTGCTTTCTTGTGAAGCAGATTTGTCCTCCAGACGAAGAAGTTCTACCTAAAAACCAGGCTGAAAAGATGGACTGGTGCCTGCAAATTCCTGTTTTCCTGACCCCAAAACTTGCCTTTTAGTTAATAATTATGACCACTTTATATAATATGTATAAAAGTGTTTTGAAAAGTAAAAAACTAAATATTCAGTGAAAAGTATTCATATGTTACTTTTATAACTAAAGTAAGTTTGGTGTTGCCCTTTCACTGGGCACACGTGTTGACTGCTTGTATGCAGGGCCCAGAGCTGGGTGTTAGTGTAATGCATCTTTTTATTTTCTGAGCATATTGTAATAATCTGCTGGAACAGAAATCTGCTATCTATAGTTAACGCCTTCTGATTTATTTTCCCTTATGCAGCATGATTTTATAGAATTTTCAACATTATATATAAAATTTTTATCATGCATGTTATACCAGCCTGGTATTTACAGAGTCTAGATCACTCATTTGCATAAGTCACCAAAATGTGAGGCAATTAAAAATGTAAAAGAGCCACACATTAAAAAAAACTGTTCCATTTCAGAAAAATTAATTTATATGTTTACTAAAATTTAATATTTAAAATATGTAATTAATTTTTATTCAAAATGTCATAGAATTTATGACCAGTATGTACAACTGACAAGTAGTGTGACGTAAAAAATAAGGACAGCCTGTAATAGTTGTGCAATCGTGTAATTTCGCTCATGGAAGTGCCTCAGAACACACTGCAGTGTGTAGAGTATGACTAGGTAGGTGTATTTTATATCTGATGCAAACTCTAAAAGCTTCCTAGCAAAACAGAAAATAAAAATTAGTGTCGTACCTGTGGGGTCAAAGTCCGGAAAGTAGTCGGGGCAGTGCTGGTGGGATGTCACCCCAGCCGGTGTGTCGTCCCAGCACAGCCATCCGTCCCAGGTGCGGTTGCAAAACAGACCTGGTGGTTCAGAAAGAAACGGACATGCCGTAGTCAGACACTGCGAAAGCTTCCGCAGGGTTTAGTGGTGCACAGTCAGTTATTTGGGGGCTCTTCACTTGGAAATGCATTTACAAACAACTGTAGCAGCAGCAGCAACAAAATAGAGGTGTTAACTTTATCAGCTACTCATGGAATTTACATTTTTTCTAGCATTTTCTCTATTTGTTTCTCAAAAGACACATATGTCTTCTGTATGGAATCTTTCACCCAAAAATCTTTTCTTTAATTAGTTAGTTAATTAATTAATTAATTTTTAACTTTATTTTTATTGCTGACACTATTTCAGACGTCCCCTTTTCCCTGCCCCACCTTGCCCACCTCCACCCAGCCCATACTGCATCCCCCCTTCCCTCAGGCTGTCAGCACAACGTTGTCTGTGTCCACGGGTTATGCATATATGCTCTTCGGCTAATCCCTTTACTTTGTTTCATCCAGCACCCCCCACCCCCCTGACAGCTGTCAATATGCTCCATGTATCCATGACTCTGTTTCTATTTTGTTCATCAGTTCATTAGATTCCACATGTAAGTGAAATCATATGATATTGGTCTCACTAACTGGCTTATTTCACTTAGCATAATAATCTCCAGACCCATCCATGCTGCAGCAAAAGGTAAGAGCTCCTTATTTTTTTATGGCTGTGAAGTATTTCATTGTGTATATGTAACACAGCTTTTTTATCCACTCATCTACTGATGGGTACTTGGGCTGTTTCCAAATCTTTCCTTTAAAATATCTCTGGAAATGCTATAAGAAAAATCTTGTGAAAGTATATGCAAAATCACTCTTGCATAAAGCCTACCTTTTAAAAAAACTATATGGCTTTGGAACATAAGTATCCTACTAACCACTAACCTTCAAAGGGGTTGCCTTGGGTGGTTCTATTCTTAATTCAAAGATGATGCAATTGTTCAAAACTCCTAGTGAAGATACATTTGCAGCCAGTTGAATTACAATATAAACAGTCTATTACCTTAGAATCACACTTTATTATTGGTTAAAATAATGCTCAGTTTGATCACATATTCATCAACATTGGCTCCAAGTGGTTTCCCACTATCTTCAAAAATTAAATCTATCCCAGAACACAAACATTTATCTTTATAAAAGAATGAGCCTCAAGCTTTAAAGGAAGTTCTCAAAAAGACATAGTTTTAAATACTGATCAATAGCACAAAATTTCAACCTCCCAAGACAACTAAGACCACAGTGAGGATGGCTGCACTCACTTGGCCTCTGAAAATACCAGTTTTGTGTTGCCATGGCTTCATTTACTTCAGAGAAATGGTTTCTTTTTGGCAGTAAGTTGCATCTAATGCCTTTTCAGGTTCTTAAAAAACACTGAAACTACTGCAGACAGAAAAATATCATGTATCTAAGTTTAATTGACTTGCTTTTTTTGTTTAAACAAAAGTGGGAGCTACAAATTAAATTTTTAACTATTTGAAGACAAACCATGTAGTAATATAATAGACTATATTTAACCAATCAATCCCTGTCCCCTCCAAAGAAGATCTTGTTCGGTCTTTTCAAATGATTTGGGACACAGAGGAGAGAATTTGAAGGGACACAGCAACGCTGGGTCACTCACATCCTCCTTCTCGTTTCCCACGGGCCTTCTCCAGCTAATCAAATATGCTGGGCCCTGAGAATACTTGGGCAATCATGTAGAGCATTCTAGAGAAGTGAGAGGTAAACGATTCTGCCTAGGAGATAACTTTTTAAAATTCATCTGGGAACTGGAGGTAGAAGAAGAGAAGAAATAGCATGAGTTACCAACCAACTGACAGGTGGGGAAAGATACTACCTAATTAACCCAAACAAGACCCAGTTTTGACAGGTTCCACACTCGGGCAAATTCTCTGCCCACGATTTTCCAGTTTCTTTCCTGTCATTTTCCAGTTCCTTTCCCTTACTTAGTCCTGCATTATTCCTGCTTGCCAGGTGTGAATACTGAGTTACTGTAGTAATTTTGTCCTAAGTGCAGATGTTGGCCAGAAAGTCTTTGGATGAACTTGAGTAAAGAAATCAGACATGTCTGCTGCATGAAATACACAAACATTTCATGGTATGAAGACCATTGTTAAAACTACTGGCATGTTAAGTTAAAATTAGTTCATACACATTTACCCATGGAAGAAGATAAACCTTCAGTGATATTTGAAACACATGCTAAGGTAATCCTTCTTTTTACCTTCTCCTTGGTATGGGGGCAGCAGTTGCATGCGTTTGTAGCACTTGGACTCGGCATCCTTCATTTTCCTTCGTCCTAAAACGTACAGAAAGGGCTCGGGCTCCCCGGTTGGACTGGTGTCATTTGAAGTGTTGGGGAGGACCAGGGCTGGTTGCTGCGTTAAAGACAAAAATCAGTTACTTACAGAGAGTACGGATGGGTGTGTACATAAATAAATGAAATAATAAAACACTTGAAAACATTTATTTTTTCCTCCTTCAAGCAACAATTGTGCATGGCTTCCATGGAGAGTAGTTTTACTTTATGACCAATAAGTGTTTATGTTGCATCTACAAATTCTACCTACAGATTCCATATTTGCATTCATCCCATTCAATATTGACAGTGTACAGCAGCCATACACACTCATGCACCTGTTCATCATATAGGACCATTTTGATTTTTACTATTGTTGTGAAGTTTAGATGTCAACAAAGAAAATAACCTGATTTCCAAACAATGGTAATGTTAAATCAACTTCATTTTTTTGGAACTCCTAAGAATCATTAATCATGTTATTAAAAATAGATATATTAGTGCATTAAATAAGCTTTTTAAAATTGGATTTCTTCAGCTGACCTTTATTTGCATGTACATTGTGCACTGCCAAAAATTCACCCCATTCACTCCGTAGAACAAACACCTCTATTCTGAGATATTCTGCCTTGAATAATTGGCCTGAAGCTTCTTAGTTTGTTTGATCAGCATTTGACCTACATGGGGTTATTCATTTTTATTGGTGAAAATCAATGTAAATCTTGAGTATTTCTTTCAACTGTTTTGCATTTTTGGTCCAGGCTGACTGACAGTAGTTTTGTCCGTCTCAGTTCATCCTTGTCACCATTGTGGGCCCTTGTTTATTGATGTTGTTGTGTGTGTGTCTACAAAGATCACTGTCTAATACATCATCCTAAATTGTATTCATAGAGATGTCAATTTCTTTTGTGGTTATGATATTTCAGTGGTGTTTTAATCTGTGATTTTTTAAAATATCCAGGTTCTGTATGGTCTTTTTGATCAATAAACAGATTGAAAGAGTTTCAATGTTTAAAAAAGATGGTGGCCCAGAAACTGTAACTCAAATTCACATGTCTAACATGAAAGACATTTTATCCAGAACATTATTAACCTTCAGTATTAATTTACAATATAATAAAGAGACGTCTCAAATTAATACTAAATTTTTGTAAACCAACAAGGCTCACATTTCTGGGTAAATGTAATACTAAATTAAATCAAATGAAGTTTTGAGGGGAGATTTCTTAACAAAATATTGAGATAATGATAATTTTGAGGAACTTAGTTGTAGCTTCTGGAGAACAATGTCTACTTCTACTATAATATCCATTCACTCATACCAAAAACATTCCTCCATATTTCAGCATTCTTCATTCACATAGCTTAGAATAATTTTGTTTTACTTACGCATAAAAAGATGAACAGTATGAAGCACCAGTGATTAAGTGAGAAGGACATCTTTCCTCTCGAACTTGATTTTTTAATTCCTAGAAAAAAGAACAAAAACATTTAAATTGATATAGCTTTAATATTGATTATAGTCTCTCTTTTCCTTGTCTTTCTATTCCACTTGAAGAGAAGCAATGTCTCAAGTCACCCTGAATAAAATCCATGTAAGTAACAACAGTATGCTTGTAACTTCCCGCCCTCCAGAACACACACTTGTCTGGTTGTTGTCCAAAGTCCTCATGAAGGCATTCTGGAGCCACCTTGACATATCAAGACCAAAATAAAGAATTCAGAGACCTCGAGAGCAATCAGTGTGAACTTCAATGAATATGCGACATCAACAGCACTGCTGAAGATTTCAAAGGGAACATCCAGGAGCCTGAACAAATAAAATCTGTGGCTTGTAAAGGATTAACAGTCACATCTTCTGGGTAGTTAAAACGTCAACTTTTATTCAAGGAGTCTTATGTGCAGCCTTGAATATTTTTCTTTCCTACAAAATTTTCTTCAAGCTTCAAGTTGCTATTGAGAATGAATTTCTTGCACAGCAAGGACTCAGTATATCACTGAACAGGTCACCATTCCTACTCTGACCACAGCAGCCTGACACAAGCTGCTTTGTCACAGATGTTGACAGTTTTTCAGGACTGCAGACAATTTTACGTAAGGAAAGATAATAAAGGGGTAAAACTTTAAAAAATATATATTTCTTTTAATCAATGGGATTTGTGTGAAAACCATATTTTAACCAGGGGTGAGTAGTTGTTATGGCATCTAGAACTACAGTATGTTTATTGCATCACTTACAGATTTTACATATTCTGTTAGGTATCAATTAGCATCTACACAGTGAGCCAGATAGACTTGTCCCCCCGAGTAAGTTGTATTTAATTTACAACGTTTTTCTTTATTTACTAAAGAAGTTTGTAGACTGTAAACAATTTGGCATTGTGTGCCAAAATCCTTAAGATGTCTATACCCTTGGACCAGTTCTTTTCTCCCTGCGAAGGACAGAATCATCAGTTAGCCCAGGCTTAATTATGGATATATGGTTTACTGTGGTGGGGTTTGGAACTAATCTAAATGCTCAAGATAATAAAATTGTTGAACAAACTCTGGTACATCTACACTATGAAATACTATGCAACCATTAAAAATGTGTATTAGAATATTTAATTATGTAGATAAATCATTTATGGTACAGTATATTAATTTAAAAATTACACAGTAAAATACCATTTTGTAAATATATTTTATATGTGCACAGAAGAAAGGCTTCTAGAATAATAAAATTAATATTTTATTTCTTATTAAATAGCAGGCACTATCAGTGTATTACCATATTTTGTTGTGTATAATGTGCGCTTTTTTGCCCAGATTTTTTAAGGAAAAATAAGGTGTATTATACATGGGCTATAAATGTTTTAATTCTGTTTTTTAAAATTTTTATTTATTTATTTTAGAGAGAAGGGAAGGGTAGGAGAAAGAGAGGGAGAGAAATATCAGTGTGTGGTTGCCTTTCGTGCACCTCCAACTGGAGACCTGGCCCAAAACACAGGCATGTGCCCCGACTGGGAGTTGAACCAGTGACCTTTTGGTTCTCAGGCCAGCACTCAATCCACTGAACCACACAACCTGTCTGTATAAATCTATATTTTATAGATTTTATCTCTATATAAATTCATTTATATCTATATAAATTCATTTATCTATAGATAAATCATTCACAAGAGACTATTAGGGAGGGCCTGAATCTAACATGACTGGTGGGAGCCCAGTCCCCATATTGTAAGGAAGCCGAGTATGGGTGTTCTGATGGAAAGACCATGCATTGACTGCCACACAGGTGCTGAGAGAGACTTCAGATGATTCTAGGCCCCATTTTATATCGTCCAGAGGAAGCTCCAGACTTCAAAGAACAAAGTCAAGTTGTTCCTGGTTCCCTGTCTAAATTCCTGACCCAAAGAAATGGTGAGAGATTAATAAATGATTTTTATTGTTTTAAGCTACTAAATGTTAGTGTGACAATAGATGACTATAATAAAATATAGCTCAAGGGCTTCAGGTAAAAGATTAAGAAAGAGTATTTTGCTCCATTTCTAGCTTTACAACTACCTGGATGTATTAGTCTAACGTAACTTAGTCTTGTATTAAGTTACAATACTCTTTGGGCCTCAGGTTTTCCATCTTCTAATTGGGAAAACTGGACTAGGTTCCGTCCAGCCTTAGGATCCATGATTCTGTGATGGGGAATTTTAAATAAGGGAATATCATGAGGTGTGTTCAATGGATTCTTGTTGAATAAGTCAATAAAAAATTAGAAAATAATATAATAGCCATTAGCTTAATACCTTGAGAGCATTAATACTGACAGAATGAATGGAGTGGAAGTCATAATACTGATCATCCTAATCACACCAATGCATGTTTACAACATCCTCAAACAGAATGAGTTTCTACATAGAAAGTAAATATTTTTGCTTGTGGTTTGATAATGAAAAAAAACCCTAGAGCAGTTGTCACCACCCACCACTTCCACTTTACAGACACAAAAACAGTACAGACGATATTAAAAGTCACACAGTTAATATTGTACTAGCAAGTATAAGTTATAGGCATGGGAGGCCTTCAACATTGTTACGTGATCGGAAACTCTAGGATAGGGGTGTCAAACTCATTTTCACCAGGGGCCATATCAGCCTCGTGACTGCCTTCAAAGGGCCAAATGTAATTTTAGGACTGTGTAAATGTAACTACTCTATAAATGTAACTACTCCTTAACTAGGGGCAAGGGGCTCGGTGCTGCCACCGGGTAGAAACAAGGTGCCGGGTGGGATAAAACAAGGCGGAGGGCCAGATTTGGGCCTTGTGTTTGCCACCTGTGCTCTAAGGGCTTCTCAAGCCTGGGTGCTTATAAGAAGCACCTGGGAATTTTAAAAGCACACTGGTTTTTTGGCCTGTCACTCAAGATTCTGATTCACTGGGCATGGCCCAGGTGTTGGTAAGGAGACATCAGCTTCAGTTCCTGGGTAGTCGTCTGGCTAGATCTCAAAGGAACTTTTAGCTCTTCACTTTACTCTTGGCATCCCCTTTCCCTGAGCTCTCTACTGGAAGGGAAATAGAGAGAAGAAAGGGGAATTCTCTGTCAGGAGGCATTTGATATGCTTTTTTATTTTTAGAAAAAAACATGATTCTTCTTAACTGACCTGATGGAAATAGTTATTTTAAGGGAAGGAAATTATGTGAAAATTGTATGATTCCTCCTTCTTTCCATAGAGAAATCCAACTTTTATGTGAAAAATCCTGTATGGCAGAAGTGAACTGTGGATGCAGGAAAACATCAGGCTTGGAGGCTGTGACTCGACTGAACCATAATAAAGATTATACCAGGTGAGTGGGGATCAATTTATCATTTTCAGAAGCACCATCCTCTGTGCCCAGGAAACATGAAGATGACCATTAGCACTTTAGATTGGACATTACCCCTTGAAAGATGGTGTGTGTTAGTGAGAGAGAACGATGCTTTGTTTATAGGGATTGGAGTCGGACTCAGCCTTTGAGAACTCTGTGGCTGAGCTGAGGACAGAGGAAGGCCTAGCAGTGCCATCTTGGTTCAGATAAAAGCATGGCAGGGAGGGGTCCCTTAAATTCCCAGGCACAATTCTTTTCCTCAACTTTCTTAGATTGTCTTCAACGATACTGGCATTTGGACAGGAAATGATGAAATCTTATCTAGCATATTATTGAAAATCTAATTTGTGGAGCAATTCTCCCAAGAATTGCTGGCAACTCTGAGACTTGAGTTATTAGAAATATATTGTTACCTTGGAAAGAGAAGATCCTTCTAGGCTATTTAAGAACTAACAGACTTCCTAATCTCATATCATATAAATAAACAGATGCCCAAGTCCTTTTGGACCTTTTAGTACATATGACAAAAACAAAATGAAAAAACTTTCAAGACAACTCAGCAAAAAATCCCAATTTTAATTCAATCTAAAGCTTTGGAGTTTAACTTCAGAAACTAGCTTTATTTTCTTTCTAAAGACTTTGGCCAAGGCAACTTTTGAAATATACTTGGAGACGAAGTGGATAGCTAGGGGGGAAGAGGGTAGGAGAAGGTAAGGGGTGTAGAGGAGGTGGAGGTGGGGAAAGGGGGGTAGATGGGGTTGGAAAGAGACTGTGCTTTGGGTGCTGGGTGCACAGTGCAGATAATGTTTATTGAGTTGTACACTTGAAACCTCTATGATTTTATTAACTAATGTCACCCTAATAAATTCTATAAAAATACATAAATTTCTTATTTTCCAAATGGAAAATCATTCTATCAAGTGAATTTTATTTATTCCAGGAACAATGTTGCATTTGAAGACTATGTCTTTGACTAGGGACTCAGCATTAAGTAAATTATGTGAATGACATCAGTATATCTTGAAAGTTTAAATACCGAACTGAAAAATCTCTATGATAAAATTAGTAATAGTTCATTCTAATTCCAAAATGAGGATATTAATATGCTGAATATATAAAATATAGTCCCCTTACATCACTCTAAAGCTTCTCTATAGTAACATTAGACATTAGATTTATAGGACTTTTGCTAATTTTTTAGTATAGAATGGATTTTCAGAGATGATTCGGAGATATTTTTCTATGGGCTTTGGAGATATTTTCTCCCTATACGTTTCCCCATTGTGAGAAAAGGCATTTATTTATATTTTCTGCTCAGAGAGAAAGAGTAGCAAGTACTCAGTAATCACCTACATTGATGATATAAAAATGTGTCTTCCCTAAAAACTATATACCAAAGTCAGTAGGGTAGCATTTCTCTGCTCCACATTTTCCTGGTTCAGGTAACATGAGGAACTGAGACCTGTCCAAGGGCCACAGGGGTAGGTCCCCAGGAACTATTAAGGTGGGACTCATCTTTCACTGCCAGAAGCCTCCAGGCCTGTCTCCAGGTACAGCTCTGGGAAGACTGCCCCCGCCTCCTCCACCCCTGCTGGGCTTCCCTAAAGGAGCTTTAATCAGGCTTTTG